TGTTATCTCCCCTGAACAAATTTTGTTTTGCTTTGTTATTGTTTTGTGAAAGGAAGAGGGAAAGTAAGAGTTGCGTCTTCTGGTTCATGTCCCAAATGCCTGCCAGCAGTAGGGCTGGGCCACGCCAAAGCCAGAAATCCCAGATCTCAATTCAGATCTCCCAACTGGGTGGCAGGGACCCATCACCTACCATCTCCCGGGGTGTGCCATCAGCAGGAAGTTGGAAGTGGAGCCAGGACTCAACCATAGGCATGCATATGCATCACAGGGGTCTTAACCACCAGGCCAAACACCAGTGCCCCCCACCCCCAGCCACATTCTAAGTTCCGGATTACCCGTGTCTCTCCACAGTCCTAGTCCTCAGAGCACGGCGAGAGGACCTTGACATACCAGGTGTTAAACTGGGGGAGTACTTGGTAAACCGGTGGGTGGTCTCTGTCTTGCCAAGGCAGCAGCAAGCAGAAGGTAGTCTGGCAGTGGTGCTGGCACCTCCAGCTCAGGCCTCCCGCCATCAGGTGCCCAGAGGGATGTTTTTGAGCTACTTCCTCTAGGATCCCTGACTTGCATTAAGAGTTCAAGACCAGGTGTGAGTTCAACCCCATGTGACCCATAAGCAGCTCTGAGCATCTGTAATCAGAGAGCAACACCAGGTCAGCTCCAACAGGTTCCCCAGGGAGGGGCCATGGAAGGCTTCTGAGAGAGGCAGGCTGGGGCCACACCCCTATTCTGTGCTCTCCCTCCTCTTCAAGTGATTTATGAAACAGTCAGAGGGTCAGCAGGGGAAACCGAGGCAATCTACCTACACACGTGCCGTGATTAGTTCTACTTCTGGAATTTGCTTGATTTTACTCATTAATGTCACTCATACTTTCAGTACACCTGAGAGCTCTGATTAGGAAATTAAAATCCACATATCTCTCTGCTTTTCTTGAGAAAGCAGGGGCTCCATAATAAACACAAAACCAAACCAAACCAAACCAAAACAAAAAACCATGAGACCATGAGAAAAGAAATCTACAACATCTTTTTATTTTCTTTATCATTGCTTCAATGCATTTTAAAATTTATCTACATCAATTGGGAACAAAGAAACAAAAATAGACATTTCTTTGTTTTTCATAAATAACTAATCTCCATATTTGATAAAAATCTCAACTGTTATCTTACCTTCCCACAAATATAATACATACAAAATTTTTCTGAAGTAAGGTCAACAAATTCAGTATCTTGAGACTAACATAACCACATCTGCTGTTCTACTGACTTCCAGGAACAAAACAGAAATAAAAACCTCTGATTAAGATGCTCTGGGCTTCTTCCTGTTAGTGTTATGGACTCAGAACTGTAATCATCTGGCAGCAATAATGTACAGATTCAAGTTGATTGTCTACGAATAACACATCACTGGACTGGTGAGCTCTGAATTTGACGTCGACAGTGACTGTGCCGCATGGGACAGACACCATCCATGTACGGAAACCATAAAAGGTGTTGAATGCCCTGGACTCGAACTACTGACTCGGTATGTGCCTCATTTGGCTCAGTAATAAATTCACCTGCACCAAACCCGTATCAAAAGTCACTAAATCTCTCATATATATAATATATATTACGTATATACATACCCACAAAAACATATATACTCTACATACAGTTTTGTAACAATATGAAATAATATTGTCTCCAAATGATGAAGCTACAGACAGATATCACCCTAGCTGAAATAAGTCTTGTAATTGTCACCAAGCTGCTAGAAGCTTTTGAGTCTGGTTGGTCACGCACACCCTGCCTAGCCTTCACCCGCCTTTAATGTCTTGGTAGATTTTTCCTTTCAGAATTGTCCTCCCCAAAGTCAGGCATATTTCCTCCCCCAGGAACACTTGATTGGACTTGGGAGACAAGAAAGGGCATGCAGAGGGAGCTGGCAATTCGTCGCCTCTGTCCCTCACACCTGCCTAGATTTGTGATGTTCTCTGTCCTGTCTGCCACATTCAGTGTTAGAAAGCAGTTATTCAAAGCTTTGTCCCTCCTACCCCCCTGGGTCTTTCTGTAGAGCACAAAAGTGAAAGAAGCTTCTTTAGCGGGGTAGCAGTTCATTAAAATACACAACTAGGTTTCCTAGCGCTGGGGTTCCCATTCTGTACTGGAGAGAGCAGGTCATGGATGCTGCTATTAAGGTTCGGTGCAGGAGCCAGGAGGTTTTCTCCTGGCAGCCGGTGTCAGGATTAGTGCCGCCCTAGCCCAGGAGGGAACAGCCTAATGAATACCAACTTGGAAACAGTGCTGCCGGCACATTATTGAAGCTTGTACACGCGCATAATTACGCACAACACTTCCACGCTGGCCCTGGCCACTGGCAGTGGGTCATGTGAAATCATGAAAAGGCTTGCAAAGATATACCAGTAAGGCACCGAGGGGGTGGGGGCGGGAAATGATTTCCAACCAAATTAGACATCTTTAAAAACATAAAGATGGAAATAGCAAGTTTTCCTAAGATCTGGTCAACTGCAGTCACTGAGTTTAGACGACCTCCTGTTTAACCCCCTCACTTGGGAAGTGCCACACTGATCAAGTTGGACAGTGAGGTATGCCCCCAAGACCAGGCTGGGCCTTCAGCCTCTCCCACCTTGAAGCTACTGAGTTACCCTGTGACCATTCATTTTGTATCTGCTTTCAGGTGTCCGATGTTTCTATAAAAATGCAAACCAGGGGGAAAAACTGCTGACGGTAAGGGGGTGGCTGCCTGGAAGTGCAGCCTGTCTCCCTGGGGTAGCAGGTGTCTCATCTTGGCTAGAGGGCGGGAAAGAATGAGTTGGGGTGAGAACCCAGACAAAGAAGCACTCTGAAATGTGGTCTACAGCAAGTCCCCCCCAAAAGCACGACCTCAGTCTCCTGCTCAGCTCAGCATCCTGAGAAGGTTCTTCAATGTGGCATGTCGCCACCATGAAAAGGCAATGTTATAAGATAAATTCAATCACCTCCATGCTGTGTGCCCTACAACTTTCAGATAGACTATGCCTCACTTCTGGATCCCTCCACGAAGAAAAGGAGGGTGGGTGCCCAGCCAGATTAGGGACAATAACTGAAGACATCAGAACGAAGTAGGTGCTTTCTGGGCTGACACAGCGGATTGGGGCAGAGGTCGAGGTTATCAGAAAATGGGCACTGGCACTTGGGACCGCGTAAGGTTCTTGGAAGAGGCTTCAGGACAAATAGGGGAAGGAGATGGATGCAAATTCTGTGACTGTGGGTTGCCAAATCCAATTGAATCTCAATTCAGAGGCTGAGTTGTGGAGGAGAGGTGCACTTTCACAAATGCAAACAGTTTTTGAGAGTCCTTAAAACCAAGCAACTACATTCCTGGCCACCAGCAGTGGCGGAATTTTCTCTGGGAAATAGAGATAAATTGACCTGGGCTTAAATTTTACTGCCCCACCCCTGCCCACTCCCCCACTATGGAGGTTTCCTCTGTGGTAAAGCCCTTTTTGCCGTTTGAGCTAACGACAACATTCAGTGCCTGCTCAGTCCTGGTTGCTGGTATTTTGCTGGCTGAAGCAGTCACCCTCTTCCCCAGGAATGGCCTCACACTCTTCATGAATGAATGGTTAAACAGATTAGGAAAGCAAACACAATTTTCCAATAGCAAAGAAACCTCTGTGTGTGTGTGTGTGTGTTTGAACACACTTGTAGTCATCAACATATAGGCTTATATATGAAGGAATGATGAAATCGATTAGGAAAGCAAACCAAATTCTCTAACAGCAAAGAAGCTCTGTGTGTGTGTGTGTGTGTGTGTGTGCACGTGCAGTCATCAGTAAGAGGAGGAAAGATGGTGTGTTTGAATGTGAAAAGAGGCGTTTGCTTTCTGTGACAGCGTGATGGCCTCCCCCAGCTCTGAAACCATATGCTAGTGTGTCCTGGGCGGTCTGTTTCAGGACTCGCAGACAGGGCTGTCTTACTGCCTTTGGCATACCTGGCCATAAACTAGTCCAAAGTCCAGGAACACTCATTCTCCCTCCTTGCGGGCTGATGTTTGCTCACGGTAGCCAGCCCCCTCCCCCAGTTCAAGCACTTCATTCAAGGGTGGGTGTGGCTTCTAATCACAGCTCTCCAGGAGAGGAGGAGTAAGGAAAGCAGAAAGACTGTTTAACATGATAAAGGAGGCGGAGTGGGGAGGGGGGAGAGCAGATAAGGGAAGTGTTGGAAATTTAATTACTGGAAGTGCATCCATTTTCAGTCCTCACATTTATAAAACAGTCTGCTTTAGCAATGGTCATTAAGTACAGGGTACTGGGGTGACTTCCACTAAAATCATAACACAAGGTCCTTTTTTTGTTTGTTTTAAAAAACACAAGCCACCGCTCCAGGCTGTTAAGAACCACCCACTCGGTTCCCCAGCTCCACCAATCGCCAACCTCCAGGCTCTCTTCCAAAACATTTCTATGGGACACCCTCTCCAGCCACCTTTCCTTCAGGACCCGACTGGCCCAGTTACCGACCAGCACTGCAGAAAGGAGACCTGAGCTGGCTGAACAGAGCCGGGGCCCAACAACATCCCTAGGCACTCTGTCACTTTGGGGGGGATGTGGGGAGCTAACCGCATTAACCCCACTCCCTGGTGGGATTGGGGGCTATCAGCAGAAATCAGCAGCTCTCCTTCAAACCGCACCTTGGACTCTGGGAATCGTGGGGGGGGGGGGGGTGTGAAGCTGGCCGCCAAAGCACACGCGACTCTGTTCCAGTCACAGCACATCAAACTTTTCACTGTTCACATGTTGCCCCCTCCAAAGACACACGTATAGGAAACAGATTTTTCCCGACGTTAAGACCGTAAGGTTGGAAAAGAAACCTGAACCAAGTGAATCTTGGCTACGAGGCCAGCTTTCAGACTGTAAAGCCCCTCCTCCCCGGCCATCCAACAGCGAAGGTAGGTAGGTGTTGTTGCCAAAATGCAACAAAGTTAAAAATCAAGGGGGAGAAAAAAAAAAGAAGATATATAAATTAAAAAAGAGGGTTTCTCCAAAGAAGGCAGCAAGAAGCCCAAGGGAGAATACTTAGCCCCTCTGAGAACAGGGACAAGGACTCCCTTGAACCAGCCTCTTAACCCCCCCATCTCCAAGCTACCCCGGGAGGGGGCATCAGCACCACGCAGGTAAACGGAAGTGACCTTGGCTAAGCCACCACACACAAAACTCCCCTCTCTTCCCCTCAACTCCCAGCCGCAGGGCCTCCTACACGTGCGACAGGGACACCTGTTTGTGATAGGCAGCGGCGCCGGCGGCGGGGCCGGGTGGCCCTGTCCTGCCGGTGAGCGCCGCGCTGGCCTCGGCGTAGTCCCCTGCGGCCATGGCACCGCCGTTCTTGTGGCCGCGCCGCGAGCTGCGGCAGCAACAGCGGCTGGTGAAGCGGCGCCACGACTCCAGCGTCTTGCCGGACCAGATCCAGACGCCCGACGTGATGCCCACCACGAGGCACATGAAGTACTTGAGCATGAGCACCCAGTACTCGGGCTTGGCGCGCGGCTGGCCGGCATCCGGGCCCGGGCAGGCGCAGGTGAGGGCCGCCTCCCAGCTCTCGCGGTAGTGCTGCTCGTACAGGTAGCAGGCTACCACGATGCTGGCAGGCACGGTGTAGAGCAGCGTGAAGATGCCGATGCGGATCATGAGTTTCTCCAGCTTGTCCGTCTTGGTGCCGCCCTGCTTGATGACGCTGCGGATGCGGAAGAGCGACACGAAGCCGGCCAGGAGGAAGAGGGTGCCCACCAGCAGGTAGAGCACCAGCGGGCCCAGCACGAAGCCCCGCAGGGAGTTGAGGTTCTGATTGCCCACATAGCAGATGCCGGCCACTGGGTCCCCGTCCACAGAGCTAAGGGCCAGCGCCGTGATGGACTTGACACTGGGAATGAGCCAGGCGGCCAGGTGGAAGTACTGCGCGTAGCTTGCGATGGCCTCGTTGCCCCACTTCATGCCGGCCGCCAGGAACCAGGTGAGGGACAGGATGACCCACCAGATGGAGCTAGCCATGCCGAAGAAGTAGACGAGCAGGAAGACGACAGTGCACAGGGCGGGGCCCGTGGTCTCATAGTGGATATGGCTGTGCTCACGGCTGCAGGCCACACTGGCGTGGCCCACGACCAGGCGCACCAGGAAGCCAAGCGACACGCACAGGTAGCAGGCCGACAGGAAGATGATGGGGCGCTCAGGGTAGCGGAAGCGCTCCATGTCGATGAGGAAGGTGGCCACGGTGGTGGAGGTGGAGATGAAGCAGAGAACCGACCAGAGGCCGATCCAGAAGGTGGCGAACGTGCGCTCGTCCGGGCTGAAGGACGGCTGGTAGCAGGGCACGGCGCAGTTGGGCACCTGGCCTGTCCTCACCTTGTTGTAGAGCGGGTGCGACTCCTTCAGGATGGGCACAAAGGGCTCGCGGCACTTGCACACGGACGGCCCGCCCGCGGCGCACTCTGTCCCCGCGGCCGGCACTCCAGGCGGGCCGGCGGCTGTAGGCTTGGCCGGGAAGTGCCTGGGAGGCGCCGTGGTGGCCTCGCTGCGGTTGTAATCCATGCACAGGACCTCGGCGTCCCGGCCCAGCACCGGCAGACGGTCGCAGCTCATGCGCTCGGGCCAGGCAAAGCCGTACTGGCGCATAAGTGGCGAGCACCCGGCCTTGGCACGCTCGCACACCGAGCGGCAGGGCGGCAGCGGTTTATGGTAGTCCGGCAGGCAGATGGGGGTGTACATGGAGCACAGGAAAAAGCGCAGGTCCGGCGAGCAGTGGATCTCCACTAGCGGCCAAAACTGGTGCACCTCCAGGCCGGCCTCGTCCTGCGTGTCGTGGTTGAACTGGTTGGGCATGTGCGTCAGATTGTAGCCGATGCCGCGGCACATGGGCACCGTGATTTCCTGGCACACTGGGGCCTTGGAGGCAGCCGCCGCCCGGCCCGCCAGCTGCGCCAGGAGCAACAGCAGCAGCGAGGGCGGCGCGGACGGCTCGGGCCGAGCCATGGCCCCCTCCCTCCTCCTCCCCTCGCCTCCTGCTGCTGCCTGAGCGCGGCCAGAGCAGGAAAGCAAATCCGGGGGCCGGGGGGCTTCCCTCTCGGCGTCTGGGGGGGTGCGCGCGCGGGCGCGCTGGGGCTGGCAACCTGTTGGTTTCTTTTTCTTCTCGCGAAATCCGTCCCAGGATAAAGTGCTAGGGGAAGGCACTGCGATCGGCTCCGGGCAGCGCTGGGCAGCTCGCGGGATTGCGCCGGGGAGGAACGGTTGGGGCTCCGATGCCAGGACTCTTGAAAAAAGAAATGGGGTAGAAGAAAAATTGCATTCGTCTACCTCCTACTAAGGCATCAAAAGTTCTGTTCCTACTAGAGGTTTCAGAGCTCCTAAGTTAGCCAACTCCTCTCCCTTCCACCTCCTGACCGGCCCACACTTCCCTTCCTGGCTGTCCCAGCCACCCCCGCCCCCCCCCCGCCCCGGCTGGGGTCAGAGTCCTGAGTCCCCAGGAAAAAGGGACCAGAAGTACAGGGAGAAGGAGGGGGGAGATGCAGGCGCTCACCTCCGCAGATCCCACCGAAGAGGTGCAGATGGTCCGCAGCCAGCCCAAGTCCTTCCTCTTCAGGACACTGTGCTCAGAAACGCGACTGGGAGCCGGGGGTCAGCGCCCGGAAAGTTTAGCGACAGCCTGGGTACCCGCCGTGGCAGCACATGGCAGCAGGTGGGGGCATCTCAGAGAGGCGGCCGCCTCCCGAACACAGTCGGCGCAGGCCGGTCACTCGTCCTCTCCTCCTCCAGAGCCTCCCGCATGATTCGGCCGGAGCAGGGCTGGATGCGGGCAGTGCGTTCCACCGGGGGGTGGTGGGGAGGGCAGAGGGCGGTCCGGGGAGTTCGGACGCAGGGCGGGCGGGCGCGCCCGGGCAGCACCTGGGCCGGAGGCAGGCGAGGCGCGCTGCAGCCGGGCCGGGGCTCCCTCCCCCCCTGCGCTGCCTCACAGCACGGCGAGCAGCCGGCGCTGGCCGGGCCGGGACTGCATGGTGGCGCGCCCGCCGCTCGCCTCCTCCCCTGCAGAGGGCTCCGCGCTCCAGCGGACTCCCGGGACGCGCCCGGCTCCTCCCCCGCGCCGCGCTCTCGCACCCTCTCGCCCACCTCCGGCGGGCACTGAGCGGCGCGCCGAGGGGCTGGACTCACGGCCGCGGGCACACTGCCCTCTCCCGCCCCCGCCAGGGTCACCTGCCTCTAATGCCCGCCGGGAGGCCCCGCCCAGGCCCCGGCCCCGCCCCCGCGGGCCCGGGCGCGGTTGGTGGGCCGCCCGGCCGCGCTCGGCCCCCGCGTCTCCCCGCCCACTGCGCCGCGGGCTCGGCCTCTTCCCCTCCCGGTCCCCCCGTCGGCTCCGCCCGCAGCCTGCCGCCCGGCCCCGCCGGCCAATCGCGGGCTTGGGAGGCGTCGGGGAGGGCCGGGACGGATGCTCCTCCGGCCGGCCTGGAGAACCCGGGCGGGAAAGCCTGGCTACGGGTCCCTTGGGTGGGTGGGGGGCAGTCTCCGCCGGGCTCTCACGGGCGCGGGACTCCCTCGCCAGGAAGTTGCTTAGCGTAGGAACCTGTGCCTCGTGCGGCGCCTGCCAGGCTCCTCGCCGGCTGAGCTTGCACGAGCCCAGCGCTTGCTGAGAAATCGCTCCTGGCAGCGGCACCTGCCTCCCGCCGCGCTGCCTCGGTACAGGTGGAAGAGCCAGAGCACACTGATCGAGCATTTCCTGTGTCCTCGGCAACGTGTTAATCATTTACGTCGCCATACAAGATCTCAAACCTTTGCCATTTCAAGAGGCAGGTACTCCTTACAGGTGAAGGAACCGGGATTTAGAAACTTGACCGAGGCACTCTCCCCTCCCTCCCGCCCAGAAAGCCAGAGACACCCCGGGCACCAGGCTTCTCGCTGTGTTCCCAGCGGCACGATGCAGGTACCCAAATGCTATAACTAGGATTCGAACCCCGATCCCGGGCGCGCGCGCAGACACACGCACACACCTTATCTCCCCCCACCCCCAATGTGCTGTCTGCATCTCCCAGGCTTTGACCTCTACTTTCTCATTTCACAAAACCCCATTGTTGCCACCAGAAAAGTGAACTTCTTTCAGCCTTGGAAGACTGGAGAGATGTCAGTCCTTTATCAGTCGGGGTTTATCATCCAAGGCAGTTCCGAAGTCACCCGCAGAGAGCAGCGGCAGGGCTCGGGGCTCTGTGCCGGGCGAGGCGCCGGGCCCCCGGAGCTGCCCGCGGCTCAGCCGCGCACTCGCACGCCGCCAGGGGCCGAGGGGCGCACGGAGCAGCCGCGGGCGCCGGAGCCCTCGGGGAAGACCTGCTGGGCGCCCCGCCCGTTCTGCAGAGAGCTTCTACGGGGAGTTCAAATGCCTCTTTTCTGTGCCTTCTCCTTAGGCTGGAAGACTGAGATCTGCAGCATACTTGAAATTCATTCACACGCTTTGGAAGAGAGTTTAAATTGTTTCGCACCCCCTCCCCCCCCCCCCCCAATCCCTTGCTTTCCCTAGGGAAAAAAAGGCGAAAATAGGCCCTAGGGCCGGGGAACACTTGCTGGTCTCAGAAGTAGACTCAGTGGGCTGAGGTTGACCGCGGATTATTGTTCATATTCTGCTCCCGGGTCATCCTCCACACTTTTTCTTTTCTTTTTTTAAACAGACTGGGAGTCTAAAATGCAGAAGAGTTACCTCTTGCCTGCGTATTAGCAGGGCTTGATAGGAGCTGATGAGAAATGCTTCGTAGTGCACTGGGGACATCCCGGTGGAGCCTGGGAGTGGAAAAGCTGTGGAAGGGCTGTGCGGAAGAAGCCTCAGTGGAAAGTATGCGCAGGCTGTGAGCATGCCAAGGGAGGCCTGGCCCGTTCGCAGCCCTCTCTGCAACGTGTGTATTACTGGGGATGGACAAGTGTTGGCTAATAATAAAAATTATTTGAAGTTGGAGAATGTTAATCACTCACACTGGAATTTCATCCGAATACTTCTGTTATTTCACTTTGTTGTGACTCAAACATCATCCAGTGGCCGGTGAACCTTCTGTCTTCTTAATCAACAGCAACAGTCTTACTTCTCCTTGGAGAACGGTAATAGCAGTAACAGTGCAAAGCCCTGTCAGAAGAGGTTATTTTATGTTGCACAACTTTTTTTTTGTATCACTGTAGTGGTTGCTTTTCTTCCTCCTTCCCCCACCTCCATATATTATTTCCTTTGAAAAGAGTTTTAAATACCCTGTTTAACATGTTTCAGCCAGGGTGCTAAATAATTCATGTATGTTACCTCATTTAACCCACACAGGAATCAGACGCAGAAACTGGCATCATAATGACTTGCTTGGAGCTATTTGTTTAGTCCATGGAAAAGGCAGAAATGGAAATTCCCACGCACTGTGGCACCTAGAGCTGATAGCAATAAATGCAGCTGAAAATGATTGAGTATCCTTGAGGTATTCTCATCACAGAAGATTATATTATACAGTCCGTATATTACTTAGCTTGTTTGAGTAGCCTTTCCACAGTGTCTACACGCAGTGTCTGCATATTTTAAATGTTTACAGTTTTTACTTGCTAAATTAAGGAAATTGATGCAGGACTGGAATTAAGGTGCAGAAAATTCAACCACGGTCCACAGTGCTGGCATCCCAGACGGGAGTGCAAGTATGAGTCTCGGCTGCTCCACTTCTGATGCAGCTCCCTGCTAATGCGCTTTGGAAAGAGATGAAAGATGGCTGTTGTCCCAGGTGCGTTAGTAGGGAGCTGTGTTGGAAGCAGAGCAGTGGGGATCGGAATCAACATTCTGATAGGGGATGCTGGCTCGAACGTGGCAGATTAACCCACTGCAGAATGGTGGCAGCCCCCAGATGCAATTTTTTTAAGATTTATTATTTTTAAATTTTTTATTGAAAAGTCAGATGTACAGAGAAAGAGAGACAGCGAGGTAGATCTTCCATCCACTGATTCATTCTCCAAGAGGCCACAGTGGCTGAAGCTGAGCTGATCTGAAGCCAGGAGCCAGAAACTTTTTCCAGGTCTCCCACGTGGGTGCAGGGTCCCAAGGCTTTGGGCTGTCCTCCACTGCTTTCCAGGGCCACAAGTAAGGAGCTAAATGGGAAGCAGGGCTGCTGGCATTAGAACTGGTGCCAATATGGGATCCCAGCATGTGTAAAGCAAGCACTTTAGCCTCCAGACTACCGCGCTAGGCCCAGAAGATGAAATTTTTTAAAAAGATTCGTTTTCCTTTTATTGGAAAGTCAGAAATACAGAGGGGAAGATCTTCTGTCCAATGATTCACCTCCCAAGAGGCTGTAACGGCCGAAGCTGGGCTGATCCAAAGCCAGGAGCCAGGAGCCTCTTCTGGGTCTCCCACATGGGTGCAGTGTCCCAAGCATTTGGGCCGTCCTCCACTGCTTTCCCAGGCCACAAGCAGGGAGCTGGATGGGAAGTGAGGCTGCCGGGATTAGAACCGGCGCCCATATGGGATCCTGGTGCATTCAAGCGATGACTTTAGCCACTAGGCTACATGCTGGATCCCTAAGATGCAATTTTTAAACACCTAGAACATTACCAAATATCCTTGTCTATTAATTCAGTTATTCATTTATCCTCACAAGAACCTTCACATTTCTGAGTTGAACACAATACTGCCACGCTAAACATTTCTAAAAATCAAAACATATGATACCCTGCTTAAATTATTGTCCAAGCTATTTTTATAATTGATGAAAATATACAGGATAATGATAGACATTCCAATTAATAAGTTATATTCAATACTTTTTAAATACCTGGTTTTTGAATTTTGTTGTAAAAGAAGAGTTGCGCCATTTTAAATCTTAGTAGATTTATGGTATTTATAAATGCATCATTCCGATGACCTATGAGAGTTCAATGCTTTCAGAATAAAGGAACAGATAGTTTCTATACACTACTCAGTATCTTGTTAATCAAGCCTTCAATGATACACTAAACCGAAACAGTTCCAATAAACCCTGAGGAGTAAATGGAAGGATGACAACTCAGACTGATGTTTTCACCTTAGAAAGTGACACACCTTCGTGTCTGTAACCTAGGCCTGGCACAGTAGCGTAGTGGCTAAAGTCCTTGTTTGCTTTCACCAGGATCCCATACGGATGCTAGTTCATGTCCCCGCTGCTCTACGTCCCATCCAGCTCCCTGCTTGAGGTCTGGGAAAGCAGCAAAGGATGGCGCAAAGCCTTGGGACCCTGTACCCGTGTGGGAGACCTGGAAGAAGCTCCTGTCTCCTGG